TGAACACCAGATTTTGATATGGTTTTTATTACTTTTGAAGAAGGAACAATGCATAAGCATTCATTCACAGACACAATACATAGAAATGAACATAAACTTAGAATACACTAAGGTATTCTTTTATCCAACCATTGTTCTTTTTCTTCCCCTCATTCTCACTTCTTCCAGTTTATTTAACACTTCAGATGATCCTTTCCCATAGTTTCTCCTGTAACTTTGTAAAAGAGTTTTGAAAAGTTCTTCTGTGTTAGGATGAGTACTAAGAAAAGCTCGTTCTAATACATAGAGATCCACGCCTTTATCTTCAGCACTTCCATCCACATAGCTGAGACCAAAATCGATGATGATGACTTCTGGTGTTGACCGGTCTCTACCGAGTTTTACAAGCATATTTGATGTAGTTAGATCACCATGAACAATGCTGTTTTTGTGCAGAGTTGCAATTATTTGACCTACTCTCTCCATCAAAGGTTTTAATTCTTTTAATACATCATTCTTGTTAGAGTTTTGTACATTGTCTATGTACATTCTCATTGTCTGAGTATCTTCTGAAACATCTTCCATGATGATAACACGGGTACTGAAGTCAATACTGTAAACTGCTGGAGTATGAATACCTGTAAGGAAAGGTGTAATAAAAACTCTTTCAGTAAAGAAAAATGTCTCACAATAAGGGTAATGAATATGTGAAAGGAAAGGTGTAAGAACAACTATTAAGATAAAAAAAATGTCCTATATTTAAAAAAAGGATTTTAATATCTGGAGGGTGAGGTATAATAGTAACTATTAAATTAAGAAAAATGTCTCAAAGAATGGGGTATGAATACTTGGAATGAGAATTGTAATAGAAACTATTCAAATAAAGAAAATTTCTAACAATATGTGGAATAAATATTTCGAGACAAGATGTAGTAAAAAAATATATGCAGTGCAATAGTGCACAATAATGGAATCAGACATACATAATGAACAAAGTAGTACCAAACACCCATGTGACCTCAAATATTGTTCTTTTAAATTACAATTCACCTTCAAAAGATATGTTAGCTACCTACTGTTAGATGATATTTAAATGTACATACGGGTCACCATTCACTCAAAACCAATACATAAGAAATTTGTAAAAAAACATGTAATGAAACTCGGGTAATTACAGAACAAGACAAAATATGGGACAGATAAATGACACTGTTACATATACAATATACACACATCCTGTCCAGTTTTAATTTACTCCCTGTAACTTCTAAAATAATTGTTTTTTTTGTGTGTGTTTTAATGTATTTATGAATTATTGTTTATGAAAGTTATTTTACTTGTGTTTGATTTTCATGATGTAGACTAGTGTCTAGTCTCTTTCTTTGCACAAGCTCAGTTAGTTTCAGGGAATCTCAAAATTACTTTTTAATATATTCTGGTCTAATTTCCCATTATATAGTGGGCATATCCTATTCACTCTTTTTTTACACATTTTAAACACTTAGTTTCATTCTACTATTTCCTTTCATAGTATCTTTAGTAGCACATTTTAAACATTGCCAATCTGCTCTTACTTTTCAGTATCTTTAGTAAGTAGCAAATTATAAAATTGATTTAATATGATGTTATCAAGAAAAAAGTCCAATCCATTCAGATTTTTTTGAGTTTATTAGATTTGTAAGATTTCTTGCTCATATATGTGAAAATAAAGCTTAATTTGTTGAGTGTTACATTATAATGCCAATGTCCTTTCTACGACTAATATTATGGAAATGATAAAGCATGAAATAAAATGAATACTGAAGTAACTATGAAACAGAACATTTTTGCTCTTTGCCATAGTCTACACCTTGAGTATTTAACATGCAGTGCACCCCCCCCCTGCATGATTTTGTACACCAACCATCAAATGGAAGTAAAGTGAGGTCATGGAGGACCACATTAATGTCCCAATCCAGAAGGGCAAGATGCCTTGGCAACTGTTGAATCCTTAAGGAATGCATGAGCCCAGTAAGAACAGCAGAAAGGAAAACCTTATGGCATCAGGAAACACAGAAGGTGTGAGATAAGGCTGTATGAGATAAGCGAGGAGACTGAAGAACTACAGTTGAACAGCCAGGTGAGAATTCCATAACATGAGCCACAGAAAGCTTGTTAGCTGGAAATCCTCTGTTAGAAGACCAACAGCAGAAGACTTTCCACTTATGTTGGTAGACTTCTAAGGAAGACGGTCATAAGGAACCAGTTAACAAGGAGACAATTCAATGTGTGAAACTGGATTTTCTCACCAAGGACTGGACAACTGAAGAAGACTGAAGAACTACAGTTGAACAGCCAGGTGAGAATTCCATAACATGAGCCACAGAAAGCTTGTTAGCTGGAAATCCTCTGTTAGAAGACCAACAGCAGAAGACTTTCCACTTATGTTGGTAGACTTCTAAGGAAGACAGTCATAAGGAACCAGTTAACAAGGAGACAATTCAATGTGTGAAACTGGATTTTCTCGCCAAGGACTGGACAAAATGCAGGTGTGAAGACAAATGATGAGGAGATTGGGATGTAGGAGGTTGACAAAGAAGGTAGGGAGAAAGTGGAAATGGTGGTGTCAGGAGCAGACACTGTAGCCTAGAAAACCAAGGTTGTGCTGGCCAAAAGGGTGCTATCAGGAGGACTCAGCAAGGAGTATAATGGACTAGAGAAATCACCCAATGCAGCAGCCAGATTGGAGGGTACACATACAGGTTACCAATCCTGGCTGAATGCATCAACTGCCAAGGCTTGGGGATATAGTACAGGTGACCAAAAGAGGGGCAACTTGGGATTGAGGCACTTGGAGAACCCCAACGAAGGCAAAGGTCCCAGAAAATGAGAGGATCCAATACCAATTCAGTAGGATAGATTTGGTCCAGTCGCATAAGATAATTTGTGACAAGATTGAAAGCACCAAGCACATGACATGCAATAAGACGAATGATGATTGATCCATGCCTCCCAACCTTGAAGGGATGCGTCATTGAACAAATGTAGATCCTGACATGGGGGAAGAAGTGGCATGCCCATCAATGTATGAGCTTTGTTAAGCCACCAGTGCAGATTGTCTCATAGGGAAGGAGGAAGGGAGATGATGGTGGAAAGCAGATCTCAAACAAGATTCCATGGTTCTGGAAGCACCCATTGCAGGGATCTCATGTGGGCACGGCTGAGAGGTATAAGTGCAGTTATGGAGGACTGCATTCCCAAAAGCAATAGAACCTCATGAGCAGTAAGTGACCAAGTCAAGAGGGCTCAGTGAACTATAAATTCCATGAACCAAACAAGTAAATGAGAAGGCATGGCATGACTGATATTAGAGTCAAAAAGACCCTAGATGGACCAGGTATTGTGTAAGTCAAAGTAATAACTTCTCCAGTTTGATCAACCAGCTTGCTTGAGCTGTTACAGAAAGGAGTTGGTGGGTATGATGTCAGATGCTGACATGCCACGGGATCAGGAGGAAGAGGAAAGGAAACAGGGCAAGGAGAAAAAGGAGGAGGGGAAATAAAATTGGAGAGCAAATCCTTCTGACAGAACCCATATCACCCAATAATCCTTGACAAAGGGATGACAGTGAGGAAGAAAGTCCAACAGTCAAACTCCTACTGGCCCCAAACCCACAGGGTTGTCACAGGTACTGTTGGCAATGGATGGGAGGGTTGGGCAGATGAAAGATTGGAGACAGGAATTGGGGGATATGAGGCTATGACTGAGACATAAAGGTGGCAAAGGACGTGAGAGTGGTTTGCTGTTGGGCTGATGTAACCCGAGGCTTGATAGTTTCTGGGACAGTACCAAAGACATGACATCGCAAAAATGGAGCAAGCTAGAGATGGTAAATTGACCCAGGCTAATACAGCATCCCTACCGATAAGGTCCCAACAACAAAAAAACCATGTGTGTAACACCAGAGTCAGGGAAGAAATGTGGGCAATTGTGGAGGAGAGAATGTGAAGGGTATCTGCAGAAAACCCCTCAGGATTTATGGAAGAAAGCTACCATAGAAGGGTGGTTAGGGTAAGACGAGGGTAAGAATATTGGGCATGGGGAAGACTAGCATTATAATCAAAAGCCTCCCCCCAAAGAGATAACAGCAAACCCAACAACTGCTGATCCAAAAATTGATAGTCAGCATGATGATAAGAAAGGGCAGGCTGATCCTAGGGCCTCAGAGGAGGGGTGGCAGGCTGATCCCCTCACTTAAGTGATCAGCATGTACCCAAATATCTGGGGAGGAAGGAAAAACCAAAATGGTTGAGGTTTCATGTAATAAAAAAAAGTCGAGGGAATAATATATAGGGGAAAGGGATAAAACATCACAAACCTGAGAGACAAAAACTGTGAAGACCAAATTATGTCTAGATGATTCTTCAGGTAGAGGGAGGAAAAGACTATCAAAATCTTCATCATTCAGTAGAATTTCAGCCAATTCAGGTAGATCCTGGGTGATGTCAGGGGACAAATATGACCCATGTAGCATTCAATCTCCTAATGTATAAAAGCAGAAAAATGTATAAAAATCTGAGAAACAACATTAATTGTTCATGTGACTCCCAAAGCATTCAGAATTCATAATGCAAAACAGAACTCACAAGTGATAAGTTTTGCCAAAATATTAGGTCGTCAAGAAATTGATGTTTTTTTTAGATGAAAAAACCTGAACTACTTATATATTAAAACTAAACATTTATTAAATGAAATAGTCTCCATTCTTATCAATGATGCTTTTCCACCTTACAATCAGATTGTTAATGCCCTGATTAAAGTAATCACTTGGCTTTGAAGCAAAACACGTGTCGATGTCCTCTTTAACACCTTCCACATTT